GGCCCACATGTCCACTCTTGCCTGGTGGAGATGGGGCAGCAGCTGGGGGAGAGTCTCTCCTCCCTTGGGGTGCCCGAAAAAGGGGCAACAGCCTTCCTCCATCCTGGTACATGTCCTTTTTCCCACCACACAGCCCAGAGAAGGCTCCCATGGGGTCAATCTCCCCTGACCCACTGGGGTGGGGAGAGCAGCCCCCAAGGGGGGCCATGCCCCGCACACCCCACGCTCAGCCCTCGACAGTGGATGCCGCACGTGGGGTCCCTTCGAGCTGCCCCTCCCAGTGACTGGGGACAGGACAGGACATCTCTGCTCGCTGGAGGATGAAACTCCATCCCCGACACAGCCCCGCTCCAGCCGCACAGGCACGCCGGGCACAGCCAGATAAACCACGCAGATTTGGGCTTTTTTTGATTAAACCAAAGAAATTAGTTCAACAGCATCTTTAAGCCTCTGGGCTCAAATTAGGCCTATCCCTCGCTTGGGGCCTGGCAAAGCATAGCAAAAGGCTTGGGGGCAGACCAGGAGCTCCAGCCTTCAGAGCCCCCCACATGCAGCCCAGCCCCTCTCCCCTCGGGGCTCTGCGCAGCCGGGGATTATTCTTTTAATCAGAGTCTGTATGGGAATTGCTTGCCTATAGATTACGGGAGCGTGGCATATCCTCTGGCAGGGGGAAGCCCCCAGCCTCGTCGGCTCCCAAGCAATCTCGACGTCTTGGTGGAGCCGGGATTAACGGGGGCACGGGGCCACACGCGCGTGTGTGTGTTTGTGCCTGTGCGCCCGCCCGCCGCCTCCTCTGCCTTCCAGTCCTTTGACCCTCGATTGGGCTTTTTTGGCTAATCCTCTTCTGTCTCCTCCACCACGACTTCTTGCACCTCCAATGCCCCTGTGCCGGTGTGGGTGGCTCTGGGTGCCTGCGGTGCAGGGCTCCCCCCCCAGCAGGATCTGGCCCTGCGGGTGCTGCCCTCCATCGGGGCCTGTGCAATGGGGGCTCTTTCGGCCCCATCCAGGCTGCGCTGGGGCTCGGGGGCTCAATCCACCTCCTCATCCCCCTGATGGGATGGCACCCTGGTGTCCCCCCGCACTGCCGTCTCCCCCCAAGCACCCTTGGGTGCAGTGAGCAGCACGGGAAGGTCTTTCCATCCCGGTGGCT